GGGTTGCTTGTTCGATTCCAGGTCAGGCACATGGCCGGGTTCCTGGCTCCATCTCCAGTAGGGCGCATGCAGGAGGCAGCCAATGGATGTTCCACTCTCACATTATATTTCTCTCCTTCTCCCTTCCTCTCTCTCTAAAAACCAGTTAAAAATATCTTTTAAAAAAAAATCAACCTATGCAAACTAACATTGGCCTAGAATTTCAAACTACTTCTTAACAGCAACTGTAATAGCCAAAGCCGCCAGGTTACCAGGATGTAAAAATACAAAGCAGACAAGAGGGGGAAAAATGAGACGTATGTAATACTTTAAACAATAAAGAATTTAAATTTTAAAGAAAAGCAGACAAGAAAATTGTCTAAAAATAGCCTTCTAAGGAGAGAAAATCAACAGTTTTAGCAATTAAGATTGAATAATATAAAGTCCCTTTTTTTGTTGTTAATTCTCACCAGAGGATATTTTTCCATTGATTTTTAGAGAGAGTGGAAGGATGGGGGAGAGACAGAAAGAGAGAAACATCGATGTGAGAGAGACATGTCAATTGGTTGCCTCCCACACAGGTCCTGACTGGGGCCGGGGATCTAGCCTGCAACCAAGGTACATGACCTTGACTAGAATAGAACCCAGGACCCTTCGGTCTGTGGACTGATGCTCTACCCACTGAACAAACTGGCTAGGGTCCCTTAGTCTCTTTCATTTGTTATTTCACTAAAAGTTATTATATAAGATAGTTTTTAACCAAAATGCAATGAAAAACTCCTGCATGCATCTAGCCCACATTCATTATTATCAAGTTTTACTTATCCCGTTTTTAGTCATACCCCTTGCTTTAAAAGCTTTAGAGCAGCCCTGCTGGTGTGGGTCAATGGTTGAGTGTCGGCTCATGAACCAGGCAATCGTGGTTCAATTCCCGGTTAGGGCACATGCTGGCGTTGCCAGTTCAATCCCCAGTAGGGAGCATGCAGGAGGCAGTGGATCGATGTCTCTCCTCCATGTTTCTCTATCACTCTCCCTTCCTCTTTCTTAAATAAAAAAAAAAATATATATATATATATATATATATTTTAGAGGCCCACTGCATGTGGCTGCCACCTGGGGCCTCCCTCCCTTCCTCCGGCCCCGCACCCTGGTCGAACTCCTGGATGACTTCCCGGTCGAGGGGACAATTTGCATACTATGCTTTTATTATATAGGATTATTATTATTATGTAAAAGCTTTAGAGCACAGCATGAGCACAACCGACATAATTTAACCTGAATCGCTACAAAGAACATTTCCCCAAAACCTTTCATATTAATTATAATCTATACTTTATGCTCTAAACAGGTTACTTAGTTTTCTAACAGGGTAAAAAATGGAGTCTAACATTCATTTGCCCATTTGCAAAGAATAAAAGTATAAGTACTTTCTTTTTGGAAAATATCTGGTTTTTATTCACTCTGTTGAATATCCATCTCAGCTATTTTCAATGCATTTATAGTTACAGTGCTTACTTACAGGAAATAATTTGCATTCCAAATTTTTAAACTTGCTGTTTCCACAATCACAATGAAAATTTCTGAAAGAAAGAAAGAGCCAATTTTAATTTTTCTTTTAAAACTAATGACCGTTTAAAGTTCATCATAGCCTCTTCCCTTTCAACTCATTTCTAGGATCTAAAAAGTGGCCTTGGTTGCTGCTCATATATCCAATTCAGAATTTCTTCAACTGCCTAACAATAAGATTTAATAATTCTGGAAATTAATGTGCAGAAACAAATATTTATATCACATCCAGAGACACAAATAAATTAATGGCAGTGAAGGATGAGTAGTTTGAGTTTGTATCATAATTACCTTTTAAAAGGCCCTGTGGAAAAACTATTGTCTCAAATCATATTACATAAAACAACTACAATAAATTTACCTGTACACAGCTTCATTGAATGGAAAAGCAAGATTATGAAAAAAAAAATGCAGCTGGGAAAGAATCTAAACATTTAAAAAGCATTCAGCACCAATCTCTGTCTTTACCTTTTTGTATATAGCTCAAATAGTTTATGACTTCCATGACACTCATAACTGCAAGCTAGGCAAATTCCTGCTGGTTCTTCTCCCTTGGGGGTGCAGGTACCACAGGCATATAGTGCTTGTCTCTTTACAGAGCCCTAAAAGACAGCCCCAAAATGAAAAATGAGAATGAAATATGGCATGGTTACCTAACACCGATACTGTGATCTGAGAAATAACTGAAATCAGATTATCTGTGGTGAAAATCTTCCTGTAAAAACCACTAAGATTAATAAAAAAGCTTACACGAGAGTGCCAAAACAATGTTGCATATTTCACATCATTATATATACTACTAGAGGCCCGGTGCACAATTTTGTGCACCAGTGGGGTCCCTCGGCCTGGCCTGCAGGATTGGGCCGAAACCGGCTCTGACATTGCCTGAGGGGTCCCAGATTGTGAGAGGGCACAGGCCAGGCCGAGGGACCCCACCGGTGCACGATCTGCTGTGGGACGTTGGCCAGCCAGGGAGGGGCCACAGGAGGGCTCCAGGGCGAGTCCAGACCGACTTGCTCAGTCCTGATCAGTGGGACCCCAGCAGCAAGCTCACCTACTAGTTGGAGCGTCTTCCCCTTGGGGGTCAGTGCACTGTCATAGAAGCAGTTGAGCAGCCTTAGCATATCATTAGCATATTATACTTTGATTGGTTGAAAGGCTGACTGGATGACCAGACACTTAGCATATTAGGCTTTTATTATACATAAGACTAGTACATACTTGTTTTCATACAATTTTTCCTAAAGTGATAGGAAGTTTAATATTTTCAATCAGCTGTGAATAAGATGGTCTGCTTAACCACTTTAACACATGAAAATGTAGGAGAATGTGTATAGGTTGATATAAGTAACATCATACTTTAATTTTGGAAAATACTTGGATTCCACCAAAGACAAAATCAATGCACTTAAAAAAAAATCCCTTTTATTTTTGGGGGGAGATGCATGCTGAAACATTTAGAGGTGTAGTGTGGTGACATCTGCAAGTTATTTGCAAATGGTTCATCACAAAACAAAAAAGAAAGTATATTATAGAGGAGAAAGATAAATGTAAAATGCTAAAAAATGAAGGTATGTTAAGAGATACACGAGTATTCATATCATTCTTTCAATTTATTGGTAGATTTAAAATGTTTCAAAATAAAAAACAGGCAAAACTTTTTACAAATTTTGACTAATCCGCTGTAGGGAGGAGGAAGACACAGGGGAGCTTCGGAATACCAGTAACGTTCCATTTCTTGGTCTGGGTGGTAGGTACCTGCATGTGTTTTTTTCAAGCCCTACACAGGATTTGTGCAACTTGTTATATATTTTACTATAATAAAAAGAAAATTTTGCCCTAACCGGTTTGGCTCAGTGGCTGGAGCGTCAGCCTGCGGACTGAAAGGTCCCAGGTTCGATGCCGGTCAAGGGCATGTACCTTGGTTGCAGGCACATCCCCAGTAGGTGTGCAGGAGGCGGCTGATCAATGTTTCTCTCTCATCGATGTTTCTAACTCTTTATCCCTCTCCCTTCCTCTCTGTAAAAAAATCAATAAAATATATTTTTTTAAAAAGGAAAGTTTTAAGTAAGTCTGTTTTATAAAGCTAACTACATTTCAAAAACAGCTTACAGATTTTTTTTTAAAAAAGGCCGGGGGGAAAACTGTTCTGGTGGGAACGGAAGGTTCTAAAACACCAGCCGCGTCCGGGACCACCTGTGGTCCGGGACCATCTAACCCCCGGCAGCGGGTCGGAGCACAAAGGGCACTGTGACCTCAGTCCCACCACATAAAGGCCCCAGCGAGACTTCCTCCCCGAGTTCCATTCCCCGGGCCTGGACGAGAACCCTCTTCATCCTACCGGTCCTCAGCCCTTGTGAGTTTTCCTCTACCCACCGCGATCCATTTCTGTGCCTAGAAATACACAGGATGAGTCACCCAACACCACAGCACACCCCCTCACATGCTTGCTCACCACGTCTGCCGAACGCCAAATGCCCTCCTCAAGCAGATCCCTTCGCTCCCGCCTCCCCCCGGTGCCGGCACCATCTGCTGCTCGGGTTCCTATCCCCGTGGGGGGCCGACTGCAGAGCTATTCGGCACTGGTGTCGTCTCGCCAAAAAAACACACAAAAAAACACGCACAAAAAAAACAAAACAAAAACAAACATACACACACACGCACACACAAAACTGGCCGCTAAACTAAACTGCAGAGGAACGAGCTGTCAAGGAGCCCAGCCCATGAGGGGGGGTTTTCAAACCCAGGGCTCAACTCCGCTGGGACGCTGCCATCAGGTTCCTAATACACACTCTTAGGGTGGGAAAGGCAGCGGCGAGGAGGCCTGGATTTAAGGAAGACAAGAGTGGCTGCCCAGGGCCCAAGCTCGGCGAATCCCGAACGGCCGGCCGGAGGAGGAGCGAGGGAGGAGGGGGCCCTGCTGGACACGGGCTGCGCAAGGGGGCCCAGGAGGCTGAGGGCCAAGGGGCAGCTGGGCCTGGGATGGGGACGTCCACGATCAACGGCGGCCCCGGTGCGCCACGAAGAAGACGGCCGCGGCAGGCGAGGGTTGGACGAGTCCGCGGGGAACAGCAGGTTCCGCCGGAGCCCGAGGAGGCGAGGCCCCCGCCGCGCGCTCACCTGCGAGTAGGAGCACTTCTCGGAGTCGCTGCCACCCAGGACGGCGCACGCCTCCTTCTCCAACTCCTCGTCCTCCTCCAGGACGTCGACCAGCGACACCACGGGCTCCAGCTCCGACTGCCGCCCGGCGGGACCCTCCGCTCCGGCCATCCTCAACTGTCACCCGGCCGCAGCTCTGCGCTGGCGGAGGCGGGAAAAGCGGCCGCGGGAGGCGTGGCCGGAGGAGGCGGGTCCTGAGCGCCAGGAACCAATCCCCAGAAAAGGAAGCGAAGGAAGGGGGAGGAGCGACTTCCGACAAACGGAAGTCACTCCTCTCCCTTCTCCCGCCTGCGCCCGCTGCGGGCTGGTTTCCGCTTCCGGATGGTAGCTCCCGGTGGCGCGTTCTGGTAGCTCAGTGGTTGCCATGGAGATTTTGGGCGAGTACGTTGGGCTGGAAGGGCAGCGGCACCAGCTGCGGGTGTCCTGTGAGGCGCCCGACGACGCTGACCCTCTCCAGGGCCTATTGTCGGGCGTGGCCCGGATGAGGGAGCTGGTGGCCGAGCTCTTGGACCCCCAGGTGCAGCGGGAAACGCAGGACCGAGCGGCGGCGGCTCCAGAAGAGGCCTTGGACGGTGAGCTCTGAGACCGTGGAGGGCGGGAAGGTGTGGGAACCCAGGGAAGATCTGTTCCGGGAGCCCGTAGAGCTGCAGACTTGAAAAAAGCTTCGAGGGAAGAAGAATTCCACCTAAATTTTTTTTTTACACCTTCCGCCCTATTTGGGCGGAATTGGGGCCGATTAATTTGCTTCTACCCAAGCGTTTTCACCACTCCATTTCATTTGTATCACACTACACAAAAACAAACAGCCGGCTCAGTGGTTAAGCCTCGACCTATGAACCAAGTGGTCACGGTTGGATTCCTGGTCAGGGCACGTGCCCGAGTTACGGGCTCAATGGGGGGAGGAGGGGAGGCGGCGTGCAGGAGGCAGCCGATCAATGATTGATCTCATTGATGTTTCTTACATATTTAGAAAGCAAAACAACAAACACAAGAGCCTGCTGAAGGCCCGCTGTGTGCCAGGCACCGGGCTGAGCTCTGGAGAAAATGCGGTGGGATCTGGCCAGGTAGCTCAGTCCGTTAGAGGCGGGCTGACCTGGTTGCGGGCTCCTTCTGGATCAGGGCTCAGACAGGAATCCTCCGATGAATGTGTAAATAAGTGGAGCAACATATGGCTATTCCTCCTCTCTCCTTCTCTCTCTTATTCTCCCCCTTCCTCTCGCTCACTAAAATAAACATTTTTAAAAAAAGGAAAGAAAAATAAAAGTGAATGTGATTCCGTTGCTCTCCTTGTGGATGGAACTCAGAGTGATGAGGGTGAAACAGGCAAACGCTTATTCAGGAGTGAAAGGATGACCCCAGGACCTCTTGTAACTCCTGCAAACCGAGAGAACCCAGGAAGGCCTGAGAGAGGGCCTGACCGAGCTGGGTGTTTTACCAGGTGTGAAATCACAAACGCGTGGAAGACTGGCCTCTAGTCCTGACCGGTTTGGCTCAGTGGATAGAGCGTCCGCCTGCGGACTGAAGGGTCCCGGGTTCGATTCTAGTCAAGGGCGTGTACCTTGGTTGCAGGCACATCCCCAGTGGGAGGTGTGCAGGAGGCAGCTGATCGATGATGTTTCTAACTCTCTATTCCCTCTCCCTTCCTCTCTGTAAAAAATCAATAAAATATATTAAAGACTGGCCTCTAGCTAAGAATAGGAACAGACCCTAACCGGTTTGGTTCAGTGGATAGACTCTATCCGATAGAGCGTGGGCCTGCGGACTCAAGGGTCCAGGTTCAATTCCAGCCAAGGGCATGTACCTTGGTTGCAGGCACACACCCAGTAGGGAGTGTGCAGGAGGCAGCTGATCGACTTTTCCAACTCTCTATCCCTCTCCCTCTCTGTAAAATATCAATAAAATATAATAAAAATAAAGTAACTCTAAGAATAGGAACAGGTGCCGAAGATTGGGACGGATTTTGGTTTGAAGAGTCTTACGAGCCCAGGCACCCTACTCTCCCATATCCCAGTGTTGTAGGTGCAGTTTGAAAATGGAAAGGTGAAATTTAACTGCATTAATCTTTTTAAAATATTGTCTTGAACGCAAAAACCGGTATTCATTTTGACTGGCCCAAACTGAAGGACCTATGAACTAATTATTGGAGGCAGGGCGTAACTCCTCTGTAGAGTAGCTGGAACTGTACTTGCCTTTTCTTTCTTTTCCATTTTGATTGCATCTTGGTAGTTCCAGATCATGTGAAGGGGCCCGTTTGGAACATTACACTGAGTTCAGATAACAAATTGTTTCCATGTCAGTATATTGAGAGTGAAGTCCTGTTTCTTGGCTCCAGAAGTACCTCTCTAATCTCTTGAAAATGTCGTCATTGGCATATGGACAGGAGTATAACTAGAGCCATTTTTTAAAAATCTGATATTACTTATTGGAAAAATAACTGCCACCTGTTCGATTAATGGTGGGTCAAGCTGCATTGACTAATGACCGACCAATCAGTGGAAACCACACACTGGAAAGCTGCTGATAGTCTATTGAGATCCTCCCCTGGGAGCTCCCCTACAATTCCGGCCCTGAAAAGCCTTTGGGACCTAGGACCCAGCCCGCTTTCTCTATGGAACAGTGTGCCTATCCCCGCCTCCTTCCCCCAGGCCCCTTTACGTGCCTCTTGCTCTGCATCTCTTTCTCCCAAGCCCCAAGGGCCCTCTTTTGCCTCCGTTACCTTGTTTCCTGAGCCCATTTCTTCTACAGCTCACTTCTGCCTCTGTGACTTTCTAAGTAACTTTCTCTTATAGTCTGAAAGAAAAAATGGTGGGTCAGGAATATTTTTGTATAGGTTGGCATGTTTTTGTACTATTTGCTTAATGAAATCCCCATAAAACTTAGGTTTGAATTACCTTTGTTAAAAATAATAGAATACATTGGTCCGTGGGGCTCAGTGGTTAGAGGGTCTGCCCATGCACCTTAGGGTCTTAGGTTCAATTCCTGGTCAAGGGCATGTACCTGGGTTGCAAATTCAATCCCTGGCCCTGGTCCAAGCACATGGGGGAGGAAACCAATCAGTATGTCTCACATCAGTGTTACTCTCTCTCTCCCTTCCCTCCTTCCCTCCCTCCCATCCACTCTCTCTAAAAATCAATGGAAAAAAATATCCTCAGGTGAGGATTAACAATAACAAAAAGGTAGTAGAGATTAAATGGTGAATGTTATGTTATATGAATTATATCTCAAATAACAATGTACAAAATAAAAAATTACAAGTACAAAAGCAAAGTGATAGAACTTAATATTAAAAGCACTCCAGTTACCAAATACAAAGGAATTGAATAGACAGTTCTCCAAAACAGATATATGAGGCCAATAAGCACATGGAAAGATGTTCAACATCATTGGCCAGCAGGAAAATGCACATCAAAACCACAATGAGATAACACTGCATGCCCACTAGGATGGCTATCATAAAAAAGAACAATAGCCGAAACCGGTTTGGCTCAGTGGATAGAGCGTCGGCCTGCGGACTGAAAGGTCCCAGGTTCGATTCCGGTCAAGGGCATGTGCCTGGGTTGCGGGCACATCCCCAGTGGGGGATGTGCAGGAGGCGGCTGGTCGATGTTTCTCTCTCATCGATGTTTCTGACTATCTCTCTCCCTTCCTCTCTGTAAAAAATCAATAAAAATATATTAAAAAAAAAAAAAAAAAAAAGAACAATAACAAATGCCGGCTAGTATATGAAGAAATTGGAGCCCTTATAATTACTGGTGAAAATGGCTGGTGTGGCTCAATTGGTTAAGTCCTGGGGTCACCAGTTTGAGTCCCGGTCAGGGCACATACCCATGTTTTGAGTTTGATCCCTGGTCAGGGTGCATATGGGAGGCAACCAGTTAATGTTTCTCACTCCCCCTTTAGAAAAGAGCTTGGCAGTTCCTCAAAAAGTTATACATAATGCCCAGCCAGTGATGCTCAGTGGTTGAGCGTCAACCCTGAACCAAGAGGTTGCTGGTTCAATTCCCAGTCTAGGCAAATGCCCGGGTTTCGGGCTCAATCCCCAGAAGGGGAAATGCAGGAGGCAGCCAATCGATGTTTCTCTCTCTATCCCTCACCCTTCCTCTCTCTAAATCAATACAAACATATTTAAGAAACAATACACACAAAGTTAAGCATAAAGTCAACATTTATTGACCCAGAAATTCCACTCCTAGTTCTCACAAGAGAATTGGAAGCATGTTCACACAAAAACTTACACAGTAATGTTCATAGCAGCATCATTCATAATAGCTAAAAAGTGGAAACAACACAAATGCTCATCAACTGATGAGTGGATAAACAGACTATGATATATAGTGGAATATTGTTCAGCAATAAAAAAGAATGAAGTACTGATATATGCTACATCATGAATGAACCTTGAAAACATTATGCTAACTGAAAAAAGCCAGTCACAAAAGGCCACATACTGTATGATTCCATTTATATAAAATGTCCAGAATAGGCAAACCTATAGAGATAGAAAGTGGTTGCCAATGATTGAGGACAATAGAAAGTGACTGCTAATAAATGTGGGATTTCTTTTGGGGATGATGAAAGTGTTCTAGAATTAGATAGTCATGTTGTACAATTTTATGAATATACTACAAATCAAGCTGTATACTTTATAAGAGTAAATTTTATGGTTATATGAATTATATCTTCAAAAAAGTAATAGGAAAGGTTTTAAGCACCAAAATTACTGAAATCTTTTTTTAATATTAAAATAATATATTTCCATTGGTTTCAGAAAGGAAGGGAGAGGGAGAGGGAGGCAGAAACATCAATGATGAGAGGGAATCACCGATCGGCCACCTCCTGCACACCCCACACTGGGGACTGAGCCCACAACCAGGGCATATGCCTCTACCGGGAACCGAACCTCGAACCTCTGGCTCATAGGTCAACACCCAACCACCGAGCCACGCCGGCTGGACTGAAATCTTTTTAATGATACATACTTCAAATCTGGAATATACATGGTTTTATTAATCCTAAAATGAAATGGTCTCATTTTCAACCATTTTAATTATATTTCGTTCAACCACTGAACACATTGTCATACAAATATTTATTTTAAAAGGTGATAATGAAGATGATGCAGAAGATGAAAATAACATTGATAACAGAACTAACTCAGATGGACCATCTGCAAAACGGCCAAAAACATCATTTTAACAATAGCTGTATGAAATGTAAAAGACTGCTGCCATGCTTGCTCTGCAGCCCACATACTAAAATTGGAACAATACAGAGAAGATTAGCAAGACCCCTGCACAAGGATTACACGCAAATTTGTGAAGCATTAAAAAAAAAAAAAGACTACAGCCATATCAACATCTGCTCTAATTGAGAAAAGCATTTGTTTTGTTCTTCTGGCACAGTTTTGTCAAAGAAAAAAACTTCTGTTTCCAGCAAAGAAAGATATAATAAATGTTTAGAAATGAATCTGTTTTCTTGAGTGAAGAATTTCAGGCCATGGAAATAATAGAGAACACTTCATAATGTGTAAAATCCTCTAAGTTGGCAATTCATATTGTTTTCTACTGTTTAAAAAAAGATTTTTAAAATTGATTTTTAGAGAAATGTTGATATGAGAGTGAAACATCGATAGGTTGCCTCCTGCATGCCCCCTTACCAGGGATGGAGTCTGAAACCCAGGCATGTGCCTTGACCGGGAATCAAACTGACAACCTTTCCATGCACAGGATGACACCCAATCAACTGAACCACACTGGCCAGAGCTTTTTCATTTGTTTTCTATTTCTAAAAATAATTATTGAATTAATTTGTGTGATATCTGCATCTTTTAACTTCTTTTATTATAAAAAGTACATGTCACCCACTGGTGTGCCTCAGTGGTTGAGCATCGACTGTGAACCAAGAGGTCACTGGTTCAATTCCCAGTCAGGGCACATGCCTGGGTTATGGGCTCAATCCCCAGTAGGGGCCATGCAGGAAGCAGCCAATCAATGTTTCTCTCATTGATGTTTCTAACTCTCTCCCTTCTTCTCTAAAATCATTTTTTTTTTTTAAGTACATGTCATGGTTTGTGGACAAAAATATTTCAAAGAACTGTTGTGAGCAAGTGATGAGATTGGGAATTGACTATAAGAATGGAAATCTGGTCCTGGCCAGGTGGTTCAATTGGTTGGAGTGTCGTCCCATACACCCAAAGGCTGAGGGTTCGATTCCCAGTCAGGGCACATACCTTGGTTGTGGGTTGGCTTCCTGGTCGAGGCACATACAGGAGGCAACCAATCAATGTTTCTCTCTCTCTCTAAAAACAATAAAAAAAAATATTCTTGGGTGAGGATTAAAAATAGAAGAAGAATGGCAATATGTATCAGATTTGTACACTTGAAACCTATATAATTTTATTAACCAATGTCACCCCAACAAACTTAATTTAAAAAAAATAGCAGTCTGCTTAACTAAAAAGAAAACAGGAATAGAAGTACTGAATGAAGATAAAGAAGACCCCTTGAGAAAAACCCAAGGAAACCTTGAATCCACACTCACACCCAATATACAGACATCCAGAGATGATACAATTAAGTGACTATATAGGCTGTTGCAAAAGTAGGTTTACAGTTGTGAATGCACGAAACAGTTTATTCTTACACTAGAGGCCCGGTGCATGACATTTGTGCATGGGAAGGGGGTGTCTCTCAGCCTGGCCTGTGCCCTCTCACAGTCCTGGACCCAAGGGTTCCTTAGTGCTTAGAGGTGAGAGAGGCTCCCACCATCCCCGATGCGCTCACCTGCTGTGAACCCAGCTTCTGGCTCAGCAGCACGCTTCCTGTGGGAGTGCACTGACCGCCAGGGAGCAGCTCCTGCGTTGAGCATCTGCCCCCTGGTGATCAGTGCATGTCATAGCAACCAGTCATTCCACGTTTGGTCGGTTTGCCTATTAGCCTTTTATTATATAGCATTATTATTCATTATTGTATTTGCCATACGAACAACTGTAAACCTATTTTTGTTCCAACCAGTATATTTAATTTGTAACTTAAGAGAGCCAAATGGGATGTTCTTTTATGCTGTGAACACAAATATAATCTTTAAGTAAACATTCTGTGTTGACTTTGATATTTCCTCTCATCCTGTAACCATACTGATTTTGCTTAACGAAGGACTATTTTTTAATTATCCTCCCTCTTTAAAAAAATTTTTTTTTATTGATTTCAGAGAGAGGAAGGGAGAGGGAGAGAGATAGAAATATCCATAAAGAGAGAGAATCATCAATCAACTGCCTCCTGGATGTCACCTACTGGGGATCCAGCCCACAACCCGGGCATGTTCCCTGACTGGAATTGAACTGTGACCTCATACATAGGTCGACACACAACCACTGAGCCATACTGGCTGGGCTCATTTTGTTTCCTTCTTTGTTTAATATATTTTAAAAACTAGAGGCCCGTTGCATGACATTTGTGCACTGGGGGTGCAGGGGGTCCCTCAGCTCTGCCTGTGCCCTCTTGCAGTCCAGGACCCCTTGAGGGATGTCCGACTGCCGGCTTAGGCCCACTCCCTGTTCCCTAAGCTGGCAGGCAGACATCCCTCAAGGGGTCCTTAGTGTTGCCTTACAGGTGGGAGAGGCTCCCGCCACCGCTGCTGCGCTCGCCAGCCATGAGCCTGGTTCCTGACTGAGCAGAGCTCCCCCTGTGCGAGCTCACTGACTACCAAGGGCAGCGCCTGCGTTGAACGTCTGCCCCCTGGTGGTCAGTGTGCATCATAGTGACCAGTCGTTCTGCTGTTTGGTCGATTTGCATATTAGGGTTTTATTACATAGGATATGTTTATAAATAAGAAATTTCAAGATACCTGTGCTGTGATTCAGTGTTTTATGGTCTAGGCCCATGGTCGGCAAACTGCGGCTCTTTGGCCCCTTGAGTGTGGCTCTTCCACAAAATACCACATGAGCACGCACATATAATGAGATTGAAACTTCTTGGCCCATGCTCAGAAGTCGGTTTTCGGCCTGGGTGAGTCTATTTTGAAGAAGTACCATTGATATTTGGCTCTGTTGACTAATGAGTTTGCAGACCACTGGTCTAGGCTATAGATTTGATTAATCTTTTCCTTTAACTTTAATACTGATTTTAATTCTTATGTATCTTCTTCACACGTGAGCCATATGTGTAACAAAAAAGGTCATGTTGGCTGTAACCGGTTTGGCTCAGTGGATAGAGCATCGGCCTGCGTACTGAAGGGTCCCAGGTTCCATTCCGATCAAGGGCATATACCTTGGTTGAGGGCACATCCCCAGTGGGGGGTGTGCAGGAGGCAGCTGATCGATGTTTCTCTCTCATTGATGTTTCTAACTCTCTATCCCTCTCCCTTCCTCTCTGTAAAAAATCAATAAAATATATTTTTTTAAAAAGATCATGCTGAAGGACCAGTATAGAAGAAATGCCTAGCGTCTGTGGCACTGAGCGCCCCGTACTTCCCCCGTCATCATATGCAATGTACTGTAGCAGCATTATTTCTTCAGCTACTCAGAATTTTTTTTAAGTTTTATTAAGAAGGACTAGACTTTTAAAGGAAATAAAGTTTATGTTTTTTTCCAAGTGAGAAAATCAGTTGGAGATATCTGTGGCCCTCAAGTTTATTATGTAGTATTTTTATCTAGTTCCTATTTAGCCTATAAAAGATATCTCTCAGTGAGATTGTTCAGTCTGTACAAATATAGAATATTATTTCTTATATGGCTAGAAGAGTCATACCTTTGACATCCTGAAAACCTATGCATTTTAACTTGTCAGCCATCATGTGGTAATAAAATGTTTATAAGAAATTTCTGTTTGAACTGATTGTAGTTGAGCACTGCAAAGCTCAAAACTGTATTACCATAAATGCAGCTAGTGATAGTTTCAAATAAAATTAACATATTAATTAAATAATACTACCATCACTTGTGGTAATTATTTCTTGGGTATCTAAGTATATTGTAAATAGAGTGTAAAATTCTTATAGAAATTGAAAAATACAGGAATGGGCAAAAGTAGGTTTACAGTTTTGAGTATATAAAATGCAGAGTTTATTCTTGTATTATTATTATTAATTATTGTATTATTTCTTTGTATTATAACTATAAACCTACTTTTGCCCACCCCTATATTTGTAAAACAATACTCAGTTTTAACAAATGAGAAATGAATTGATTTCTCATAGTTTTTGTGATGAAGTTGGGTTCTTTTCTCATTACTTAGAACATCATAAATTTCAGGTAGATTCAAGAATTTTAGAGTAAAGAACAAAACCATTAAAGTACTAAAAGAACCCTGACTGCAGCTCAGTTGATTAGAGCGTCATCTGATATCCAAGGTTGCTGGTTCCACCCCCAGTCAGGGGCACATACAAGAATCTACCAATGATACATTAATAAGTGGAACGACAAATCCATGTTTCCCTCTCTCCCCCCACCTTTCTAAATAAACAGAGTAAAAAACAAAAGTGGTAAAAGAAAATGGGATAATAATTTCTATAATTTCAGAGTGAAGTTTTCCTAAGCAAGTTTTTAAAAATCCAGAAACCATAATAGAAAAAATTAGTAAATATGATTACATAATAAAATTTCTGAACATTCTGTGAATAAGGTTAAAAGACAAAGAAGGTAAAAGTATTTCATATTTTCAGCACAGATGACTAAGAATTAATTCTTTTTATGGATCTCATGTGTACCAGTCAAAAATACCCTAGAAATGGGCAAAGGAAAGGAACAGCAAGATCACAAGAAATACACGTGGTTTTTAAATGAAAATGTTCCACTTCCAATAAGTGAAAAATTAAAACCATAATACAATACCATTTTTTTACTTTCAAACAGAAAGATCACAAGTTTTTTGTTTTTTTAAAAATATATTTTATTGATTTTTTTACAAAGAGGACGGGAGAGGGATAGAGAGTTAGAAACATCGATCAGCTGCCTCCTGCACACCCGCTTCTGGGGATGTGTCCGCAACTAAGGTACATGCTGTTGACACCGGAATCAAACCTCTGACCCTTCAGTCCGCAGGCCGATGCTCTATCCACTGAGCCAAACCCGTTAGGGCAAGATCACAAGTTTTGATGCAAGATTGAGCTGGGAAGGATGTGAGGTCTATAATACTAGTATATTGATGGCGAGTATAAACTGATGTAAGCTCTTTGAAAGTCAAGTTGACAATTCTGTTAAAATGTTAAATTGATTCAGCAATTTTACTTAAAGAAATTTATCCTACATATAATAGCAACAAGTGGACAGATCTGTTTACAGAACTATTCACTGCAGCATTCTTCTTAGTAACAAAAAAGTACACAACCTAAATAAATGTCCATCGGAAGATCCTGGTTAAGTAAAAATAGAACATGAGTATACTAGAACATTTGCGCAGGCATTAAAACGACCAAGATATAGCTCTGTGTTGTTAAGGATCAATCTCTAGGATATGATGTCAAATGTA